TGCCGCCGCGTGTGCACCTGTACCCAGGGTGCCCTCTGCCACAAGCACCAGCAGGCGCTGGCCAGGTCCACCTCTGAGCAGTGCTTCTCAAATGTGGTCCCCACACCAGCAGCATCAGTACCGCCCGGGTCCGGCCCAAACCAGACATACGGGTCAGACCACGGGTGGGCCTCCCAGCCTGTCTGAGCGACCCCATGACGCTGTCACAGAGGCCCTGCTCCGCTGACCTCACAGGGTCCTGGGTGAACAAATTTCCGGTGGAAATGACACACAACCACAACTTCCGGCTGAACGAGCGGGAGGTGGTCAAGGTCCCCATGATGCAGACCAAGGGCGCCTTCCTGGCGGCCAGTGACCAGGAGCTGGACTGCGACGTGCTGCGGCTGGAGTACGTGGGGGGCATCAGCATGCTGGTGGTGGTCCCACATAAGCTGTCCGGCATGAAGACCCTGGAGAGCCAGCTGACGCCCCAGGTGGTGGAGCGGTGGCAGAGGAGTATGACAAACAGGTGCCTCGGGGGCTGGGGGGGGCCGGGTCGCGGTCGCTTCAGGGGAAGGGGTACTGTCCCCCAGGCCACTGTGAATTCAGCCTGGAGCTCCTGCGCGGCCAGAGCGCACCGGTGAGAAATGATGCGGCTCCGCTGCACACCTGCCCCAACCCCGCGGCTGCACACTGCGGGCCTGGGACCAAGACGATCCCCAGCCTGAGCCGAGAGGCCCCAGGCCCTCCAAGCCGCCCTGGGGTCGTCTGCCGCGCAGTTAGTTTCCGGTCCCTGGCAGGACATGCTCCGTGGCTGGTCAGGGCGGGAGGGATGCACCCGTCACCTCCCCGTCTCCCTGGGCCTGTGTGAAGACGTGAACCTGGTCTGGGCCTCCCTGCAGGACCAGCGCACACGGACAGGACTGGAACCAGAACCAGGGGAGGCAGGCCTGCCCAGGAGCCAGGCCGCGTCACGCCTCTACGTGTCTTTTAGGGACCGTCCCTAATGGGCCTCCTTCCTGACCTGACTGCCCACCACCTCTGCCAGGAGCTGGAGGCGGGGCCAGATCACCCTGCTGTCCCCGCTCAGTCCATCTGGCGCCGACCGCCAGTCAGCATCCCCCCCAATCCCTCAAACCCTCTGTGGGCCCCACCCACACGATGCAGGCCGGCCGCCTGGCCTGCCCACGGCCCCACTTCCCCGCCAGCCGGAGGAGCCTGTCGGTGCCTCCAGCAGGCCCCGCTCAGGCCCCAGGTCTTGCCCCCTCCTCCTCCGGGATGGCCCAGCAGTGGACACGGTCTTGTCCCTCGGACACGAACAGGCCGCTACGTGCTGTGGCCTCGCACGCGGGGTCCTGGCGCCACGAGGGCTGCGGACACCAGGTCGTGCGTGTGCCCTGGAGCACGGAGGGCAGCGGGCCGGGTGGTGAGGCTGGTGCTGTCCCTCTAGCGTGCTGAGCTGCACCTCACCCCTCACATGATACAGTGGTCGGCGCCCGGGGACACGCGGCGTCAGGCGCCTCTGAGCCCTGAGCCCTGTTGCCGGCAGGACAGGGACCCACAGGGCCGAGGACCCCAGCGCACGGCAGCAAGCGCTTCTGAGCAGCGGCGTCACAGGGGCGCCTCTCCACCCTCCCCGGGCAGGGCCCCACGGGCAGCGTGCGGGCCACGGGCTGGCGTGCTAACGTCGCAGGGAACAGGGCTCCTGTGAGAGGCGCCGTGGGTGGAAAAGCGCTCTCTTCCCGACCAGGACGCGGGAGGTGCTCCTGCCCAAGTTCAAGCTGGAGAAGGACTACAACCTGGTGGAGGCCCTGCGGGCCCTGGGGGTCACGGCACTCTTCGACAAGAACAGCAACACCACAGGGATCACGGACCAGAGGATCGTCATCGACCTGGTAACGCCCACCCCCTCGCCCGTCCCGTCTGGGCCGGGAGCCCCCGGGCCCCGGAGCCCCCGCCCTGCCTGCAGACCCCAGGCCTGCTCACCGAGCTCCCGGGGGAGCCCCAGGTGGCCGCAGTGCACACCGCAAAGGTGACGCTGTTCACCCCTCACACAGCGTGACCCCAGCTTAGCTGAGGGGGCACCGAGTCCCGAGAGCTGTCGCAACCCGCTGAGCCCGGGCCTCCCCCGGCACCCCACCCCTTCCCGGGAGGACACCACTGCCCCCTGATGGCGCCTCTTGTGCCCGACGCAGTTCAAGCACCAAGGCACCATCACGGTGAACGAGGAGGGCACACAGGCCGCGGCCGTGACCGCCGTGGGGTTCATGCCGCTGTCCACCCAAGTCCGCTTCAGCGTTGACCGGCCTTTCCTGTTTCTCGTCTATGAGCACCGCACCAGCTGCCTGCTCTTCCTGGGCCGGGTCGCCAACCCCGCCAGGTCTTAGTGGCGAGGCCTGGATGTCTCGAGTGCTTTTGGGGCATCGCGATTCCGTTTCCCTTCTGACAACCACGAGGTGCTGGCGCCAGGACCCTGTGGCCCGGCCCCCGTTCCAGGAGACGTGGACAAGGTGGTGACACTGGCACTGTCAGGCCTGCAGGGCGGCTGGTGCTGAAGGGTCCTGGCGCAGATACATAGCCCCCTCCCCACAGCTCACCCCCCGGCCCAGCAGCACCCTGGTCACCCAAAGCTGCCCCCCAACACAGAGCACGAGCGGCCCCCCAGATGCTGACAGCCAGCCCCTCCTCGAGCAAGGCCCAGCCCGCTGACAGGGGCACGGCCTCTCAGGGGACAGCGTGGCCCGCAGTCACGCCGCCCGCCCAGGGGTTAATAAACATGCCACGTCTACTGGGCGTACTCTTCTTTTATGAGCACAAATAACTAAGAGAAGCCAGTTCACACTACCTGACGCCCCAGAGTGCTGGGGGCTGGCAGTGGTCTGAGGGCCCCGCAGTGACCCAGGGCAGGGCATGCCCTTGGCTCAGACACGGCAGAGCAGCCTAACCGGGGGTGCGAGGACGGGGCGGCCTGAGATCCACTCCAGCCTCCAGCACTCTGAGGCGAGCTCCGTGCCTCAGGATACCCGTCTGTGAAATGGGGGTGACACAGCCCTGCCTCGCAGGGCTGCTGTGAGGATGAAGTGCATCACTGCCTGAAGGGGTTCACGTCAGTCCTGGGGTAACCACCCAGGCTGGGGGTCCTAACGGGGGCCTCGCTGGGCCCCTCACGCACCTCGGCCCAAAGTGAAGTACAGATGCCTGTGGACAGACACCACTCCCACGAGAGAACGGGCACAGCTTTCAAAGGGGCCCACAAACTGAGATGTTAGTCCACAAACCTCGTATTACGACACCAAGACAATAAGTAACTTGCCCAAGGCCCCGCAGCTGCAAGAGGCCAGCGGCCGGGCAGCCTGCATGGACATAGTCCGCGGCCTGTCACGCGGCTGCGGCTCCAGCTGCAGGTTCCAGCTACGGAACCTGGGACATTCTGAGGAGCGTTCACAGAGTCACAGGACACAGCCTACGACCCTCAGACAGGAAGGAGCCTCGGAGGACAGGGGACCCGGCACCCCAACCCCGGGCTCCAAGATCACCCAGGAGGGAGCAGCTGCCTCAGGGCAGGAACCCCTGCTTCCTGCCCAGACCCACTGGCTCGTCCCCTCAACTGAGTAACTCAGGACAGAGTGCCACTGGAAGACCCAAAGCTGGAAAAAGTGTGAAACATTAGAGAAAACAAACACCGAAGGACATCAGCGTCTCCCCGCACATCCGGGTTGACCCGGGAGCAGAGGCCGGAACCACGGTCTCCAGGATTCATGTTAAGCAACAGAACCAATATTTGTCCCCCAGCCCCCGGCATAATCATTAACTCGTTGACCCTGCAGTGCGTACACGTTCACGTGAAGGTCACGCGGCAGAGCAGATGGTTTACGGTGAGCGGGCACTGGGCTGTCACTGCTGGAGCCTGCCCACCTTGCCCACTGGCCCCGCAGACGGCCGCCCTGCTTTCCGAGAAGCTCTGCTGGGAGAATGGGCACGGGGGGCTTGGACACCCACCAGGACCCCACATGCAGGGCCAGGACCCCTGCCCCGGTGACCCGAAAACCTGTATGCTAAGTCACAGCTGTGCGTGTGCGCTAAGTCACTCCAGTCCCGTCCAACTCTGCGACCCCGTGGACTGTAGCCCACCAGGCTCCTCTGTCCATGAGATTCTCCAGGCAAGACCGGAGTGGGTTGCCACGCCCTCCTCCAGGGGATCTTCCCAACCCAGGGATCAAACCTGGGCCAGAGGTAGCACGCTCCCTCAACACAGCCCGTGACGTCTCACTGTCACAGCTGACAACTACATATACGCCAGTCGGCTGTGGGCTCCCGTCCGCCTTGGCCAGGAAACACTGCAGCTGCAGCGGCCCCCACACTCAAAGGACGAACGCCCCCAGAGCAGGGCCCGAGACCCCTTTCCCAAGACACGGATGGGCTCTCCACCCCTATCTGGCCTCCACACCCCTGGGTTGCCCTGCAGCTGGGGGTCAGCCACTCCAGAGCCCCAGCTGTGAGGACACGCGTACGTGCTCCAAATTCGAGTGACGAGGGAGCGGGAGGTGGAAGCAGGGGCTCCAACCCGGGGCTCATTGAGTAGAGCTCAGGAACCACCAGCGTAAACAGAGGCAGACGTGGGCCCGGCTGAGGACGGGTGGCGGGAACGCTGGCCGGGAACTGCCTGCCGTAAGGGCCACTTGGGAAGAAGTGGGGCAGCCCAAGACAGGGCAAGACCCGGGCCCTCAGCACCGCAGCACGTGGCAGAGACAGGCTTGCGCTCCTGGGCAGGGCCCTGAGGGCTGCACCCCAGGCCCACCACAGACGGGAGCAGGCAGGCGGGGCGGGTGGAGGCGGCACGAGCCCAGCTGCCGCAGGAGCCCCAGGGCGGGCAGGACACAGGGAGAGCGGGTCAGAACCCCATACCCGAGGACACGCCATTGGGTCCGCTCAGCTGGACCCACGGTGCTGGGCACGCACCCTGGGCAGCACCTGTGGGAGCGCTGCGGCCACGTCAGAGACATGGATGGGCAGGTACTCACCACGGCGATCACAGGAATGAGCACGCCCAGGTTCCCCGCGCTGCTGGAGGCCTGGGGGGACAGAGCCGGGTCACTGACTAGCACCACTTCTTTCGTTAAACAGAAAGATAGAAAAACCCTAGCAGCACCGCGAGAGATGAAACTCCTTCCTCTAAACAAAACAGTGAAAGACACGTACAGGGAGACAGGTATAGATGCTTAACCTCACAGTCAAAAAGGGACATGGTCAACATCACACAGGGGACGGGACGTGTAAACTGTGGCGACTCTGCACAAACACCTTGCACCGTTACAGACGTGACGCCTGAAAAGCACTTGGTCCCCCTGGAAGGTGCCCACCTCGGACGCCACCCCCCAGAGGCCTCGTGACCACCTGACACCCGTTTTGTTCCCACCACCTCTCCGTCCCACTCAGCCTGGAGGGTGCCCCCCCGACCAGCACCCCGGAAGGAGCCAGCCCCTTCTCCCAACGGGGTCTGGAGCAGTGCCTACCTTGAGGGCGGGCCCCTTTTCGCTGGCCCGCTCACTGGCCCGCTTGCCCTCTAGCCCCAGCTGCACGAACAGCTCCAACAGGTTCATGAGCAGCTCATCCACCAGATGCTCGTCCTGGATGTTGGCTGCGATGTTGGCCAGGGCGTTGATCACCGCCAGCGAGCAGTGCCTGCGTAAGCGAAGGGACAGACGGACAGCAGCAGGAGGCAGTGAGCAGGCGCAGCCAGGCCAGCCCAGGGTCCAGGGGCCGGGCTCCCGTGGAGGCAGCAGCGAGCCCATGGACAAGCAGCCCCAGAGCTGAGGGCTGTCGTGGGGACACACGCGACACCACGCGCACACACACTGCTGCTGAGCGAGCCGAGATCACGCCACCCAGCCGCCCACTCCCTGGGGGGCAGGAGGCGTGAGGAGGGCCTCCGCCCTGCCCTCCGCCCTGCCTGGGCCTGGCTAAGCCAAAGGAGGTCCATCAAACACAGGAGGAGCATCTGTCCTCGGACGTCACACCCCCAAGGCTGCGGCGCCCACGCTCAGGCACCCCCGAGGGCACGGGAGGCCTTGCCAGTGTGCCGCCCTGACCACAGAGGTGCGAGCACTGCCGGACGCGCAGGCTCGGGCTGGGCAGACTGCGGGGCTGCTGCCCAACGGGCAGGCTGACAGTGGGCAGGCCAGATGGGGCACCGTGCCCACCAGGCATCGGGCAGGCTGGGTGTGAGCAAGGAGCTGCTCACTGAGGGTGGCGGGGTGCAGGCCATCCCCGCTGGGACGTGTGGATCTCTAGCACATGGTGTTTTTGTGAGAAGCGGCTTTAAGGGACAAGACCCCCAAGTGGCCCACTTTCTGAGGATGGAGAGTGACAATGAGGTGGGAAGGCTTACCTGTAGCCGTGGTCCTTGTAGTCCTTGGTGGCTGAGTACACGACCGAGCTGGCCTTCACACTGATCTGCTGGAAGAGGTTCCACACCTCCTGATAAATATATTGCTGGAAGAGAGAGGGACCTGTGACCACATCTCGCTAGGAGCGCCCTCCATGGATACCCAGAGGGAACACGCCGTGAGTCAGGGCCGTGGAGCCTGCGACTGTGCCAGGGCCACCCACTGCAGCTTTATACAACCCTCCATGCACACAGCTTCCACTTCCACTCCAGTCTAGTTACGTCAGCAAGAACTCAGTTCAAACCGCTTTACTTGGCCATCTAGGAACCACTGCTCTGAGCTCTCTTACTTGGGAAACACCTCGGCACCCGGTGCTAAGGAAGTGGGGAGCATGTGAAACCGGGAGAGCAAGTCTAATCTGTACTCTCACACTCCTGAGAGTCAGTGGAGCTTCCCACAGCATGGCCACGGCTCCCTTACGTTTCCGGTGATGACCAGGCAGCCTAGCTGGTCGATGATGAGCACGTCAAGCGGGGAGGGGGGCTGGCAGAATTTCTGCTGCAGGATCTGCAAAATGGGCTCCATGACCTTCGGGGTATCTCTCAGGGCCACCGCGATGTGTCCCAAGGCTCGGATGGTATGGTCGGGAATCAGGTGCGCGTCCCTATAGAGGGAAGGACACGTGACCTGAGACTGGTGCTCCAGCACCAGTGGGAGATGGTGGGAGACAGAGCCGGGAGCCCGGATCCCAGAGTCGTCAGCCTCTCAGAGGAAGCGTACACCTGATGGTGCCTGCCTGGGTCCCGCCAGCCCCGGCGCCAGGCAGGGAGACAGAGCTCTCTGCCCGAACTGCGTCTGGGGGCACTCCAAGGTGGGCTTCAGCAGGCACGGCGGGACAGACCCAACACCCGACGCCACGCTGGACCAGAAAGCAGCAGCCTCCCAGAGCCTCAGGGGACTGCGTGCCCCACCCCACAGCCCAACCCCCAGGGATGGGGCATACTTATCGCTCTCCTGGGAGATGTAGAGCCGGTTGGAGAGGCTGGCCAGAAAGGCTTCCACGATCACCGGGTCCACGGTCAGGCCCGCCTTCAGGCACCTGAGCAGCGTGAGGCAGCACAACAGTCAGGTGAGTGCCTGCGTCTGGTCTGGGTTTCGTTTTTCTGTCTCAGGGTTTAAAGAACTGCTCTGAATGTACTTCCCCCAGAAATGTGAATGAATGTCGAGACACAATGAACTTAACCAATGGCTTCATGTCGCACCACTTGATAAATGTCTCAGTTGGAAATAATAACTTCACTGTTCTACCCTGAACTGCTTCCTTCAGAATGCCATACTCATTCCAACTCCAATCTAAACTCCCTGAGGACTTCCTGGGTCTGGTGGTCAGGAACCCGACTGCCAATGGAGGGGCCGCAGGTTCGATCCCTGGTCCGGGAAGATCCCACAGGCCGTGGGGCAAGTAAACCCACGAGTCACAACTACTGAAGCCGTGCTCCACAGGAAGAGAAGCCGGCGCAACGAGGAGCCTTCACAGCCCACGAGAAAGGAGCCCGCGCTCGCTGCCACCAGAGAGAGAGCAGCAGCAGAGAGCCGGCGCCGCTGAGGACAGACGATGGACAAGAAAGTGAGAAACCAGCCTCCTGCTTCCCAACACAGTCACAGTCAGCAGGCGGCTCAAAGGACGTGACAGCTACACATTGGGTTTGAACTGCATGGAGGAATGCTGTGTTCTAGAGGGAGCTCCTGCAGCCCCCAGGAGCATGGGGCCTTCAGGCATGTCTCGCTCCCCACGTCTGGGTCCCAGGCCAGAGTCTGAGTGGCCAGGCTCTCCACCGCCCACCTGCAGACGTTGTCGATGGCAATGTCCCGAAGCTGTTCGTACATGGACGGCTGGCTCCTCTTCCCCGACGCCACATTCAGGGTCGACTCTGCATGCTCGTTGGTTACGCTGATTTTTATGTCATTGCCGGCAACTGAAATTGAAAAATCCAATGTGTGTCTGGTTGAGCATGTTACTTTTCATGCTTTTGTCTGAAGTCCAAAACTGAAGTCATATGTGGATTGTTTTTAGTCATAAAGGGAATCACTCTAAAAAGATTTTTCCAGCGTTTCAGAACCCAGTGTGTCAGACAACAGGAAGGATGGTGGGAATGTTTACAACGACTCACACTTAGGTTACAAGGTGAAGAATATGTAGAACAATCACATCTTAAGTAAGGAGTGAGACAGGGCCATGTGCCGGGAAGGTGGGGAGGCTGAGAGCAAGGCCCTCAGAGTCTCTCTGACTAAAGGAAGAGGAGGACACACCCACCAAGCGGCACTTAATTAACCTCACTCACTGCAGGTCAGCAGATGTGGTCTGGGCCCACATTCTCAGGGCACTCACACTGCAGGCTGCCGGGAGAAGAGGAGGTGCCAGAAAGGGCCTGGAGGGAGGGCCCGGGAGAGATGTCTGGGAGGCGGGGCTTGGGGGAGGGAGATGTCCGGGAGGCGGGGCCTGGGGGAGGGAGATGTCTGGGAGGCGGGGCCTGCGGGGATGAGCGGGAGGGAGGCTGGGCACCCCCCCAGGCGGGGCCCTTACCTGTGTGGTACTGGCTGTGGCACTTGTACAGCTTCACCAGCACGGGGGATGGGACCACCAGGAAGTCGCGCAGGGAAGGTGTCACGGAGTGCACCACCACCGGGAACCGCTCGCACAGGCGGCCTAGGCCCTGCAACGCACGGGGACCGTCAGGGGCCACAGGGAAGGCGCTCACCGTCTCAGACACCCCTATGACTGGCGTCGGCCCATGTCCACGTGTCACCAGGCATAATGACAGGACAGGATGGTGGGGACTCCTTCACCTAAAGGTGAGATTCCCTGGTAACCCCTTCATCTCCAGAAGCTACTTAGGGGAGACAGGGCTCACTGGGAACGTTACTTCCACATAGGCAGATGGAGTCACCGGGACTGGGACGAGTCAGAGCCTCTACGGTGCAGGCTCACGTCTGCCACGTTGGAAACGCCCAGCACAAGCTGGGCAGCCTCCTCAATGTGGGGCTCGGCCGTGCCTAGACCCCGCTAGCAGAAAGCCCGCTAGCCATCAGCAGTGGCCTCCGAGCAGTGACCCTGTCCCCAGCAAGCTCGAGCTCAAGTTCCCAGACACAGCGGCTCAGACCCAGCTGCTGGTGCTGGCCTCGGCCTGGACACAGTGAGAACGTCTTGCGGACGGAAGTCCGCCCCACCTCGGGGCCAGCAACTGACCTGCAGACAGCAGATGAGCAACGGCAGGTGCGCTATGATAACCTTGCTGGACGTCTTGGACTGCAGCTTCTCAGACAGCTTAACACACAGATTCTCTGCACCTGAATTCAGAACACCGGCGAGTGCAGACCCGCAGCAGACGCCATTGGCCACACAGGCGCCTTCACCAAGCACCACACCCAGGCCGTGACGGAACCCGAACCCAGGATTCTGTGTGACTCCACCTCCGAGTCTGGGTGGCTCCCAGCTCCTGTCCTGCCTCGGGGACCACTTCATCCCACGTGCCCACTCCTCCCCCTGACTCAGGCCCTGTCACACCTCCTGGGCCAGGCCCCGCCCAACTCAGGCCCCACCCCCTTGGACCAGGCTCCGTCTCTGACTCAGGCCCTGCCCTCCTGGGGGTAGACCCTGGCCCCTGACGCAAGCCCCACTCCCTCCACCCCCGCGGAGGGGAGGCAGGGGCTGGGAACCCACCTTGTTCATCCTTCACCGCCCAGACCATGAGGTCCACGCAGGCGGCGCTGGCCTGGCAGCGCAGCTTGAGGGGGCTCAGTTCGCTGTGGGCCCGGTCGGCGTCGTGCAGAATCTTCTGGAGCTCCCCCTGGCTGCTGTTGAACTGCTCCAGCACGAAGTCGTGCACCTCCTTCACGAAGGAGGTGGGCAGGTCTGCGGGAGGGCGCACACACTCAGGCCGGCCCCTCAGACAGACCCCTGGGAGAGGGCGCTGCTGCGGGCCCCTGTGCTTCTAGGGAGGCCCACCGGGCGAGCCTGGACAGGCACGCACGCCCGCCCTGCACGCACGCCACCCAACACTCAAGAATCTGTCACTCCCACAGGAGAGAGAGCCATGCTGTGTCCCAAGCTGTCAAAAGAGTCGACGCTGAACACACGAGACACAAAGGGGCATGCCAACTCCAGAACCGCCTCATTAACAGGAAGTACTCCAGTGATATTTCCTGAAAAGGGTCCTTTATCACACGTGGGAACCTGGACGTGGCCGAGGACGGACCCTTGCACAGCAGGCACCTGGAGCCCGCAGCCTGACCCAGCGTGCGTCCTCCAGGCCTGGACTGCAAGGAGGCCCGAGAGGCAGCGCAGACACAAGCAGACCGGCCATGGTGGCCGGCAGCAGCCTGGCCGGGGAGGCCGCGGGCTCGGGGTCAGCCCAGCTGCCAGCGCCCGCTGTCCTCCACAGCCTGACCCTTGCTGCAGCCCCGACGAGGCTCGGCTCCCAGGAGTGCTGGGGGTCAGATGGGGAAGCGGCTAAGGAGAGCAGAGATGCCCACCGGACTCCACGTGGTCGTCAACACTGTTGTCACGAAGCCCATTCAGCACCAGGAAGAGCCGAGGAGACCGTGTTTCAAGCGCACAAAGGGGCCTGAAGGGGACGGCGAGGCCTCATGCACAGCGGCCGCCCTGACGGGACGCGGTGACACGGCCCTCACCTCTCATGTAGTACAGGGTGTCCCGCAGCATCCTGAACACAGCCACGTACAGTGGGTCGCTGAAGGCACTGTAGTAGAGGTCGGCGCTGGGGTTGGCCTGTGGGCAGGGGCATGGCTGTGACCCACACGGCCTGTTGCTGGGGTCACCTTCTGCTCCCTCCTTCATTGATGCCTCCCAGAGATGCAAAAGCAGACTGACCCAACATTGCCAGGGTTCTGGGCAGTGAAACTTCCTGACTGTGTAAGCGGCTGTGGGCCACGGTCCTGCACAGGCTAAGGATGGGAGGCAGCCGGGCACAGGCCACACGCTCACAGGAGGCGGCCGGGCACAGGCCACACGCTCACAGGAGGCGGCCGGGCACAGGCCACATGCTCACAGGCAAGGCCTGCAGTGCCTGCACCCATGAGCGGTGTGCACCAGCTTGAGCAGCGGCCCAGCAGGCACCTGGGGCAAGGACCACATGGAGTCGAGTCGAGCCCAGGTCGGAATCCAGGACTGACCCAGGTCAGTCCCTCCTCGCTGGGCTCGCACCTGTGTGGCAGGCACGCTGACCACTGCTCAGTGGTCAGGTCGGGGCACGGCCAGGGGCCTGGGCGGGAGGGTCTCAGAGGACGCACCTCGATCACACCAGTGACCACGGCGTCCAGGGACTTGAGAACAGGCTCCTCCACGATCTTCTTCACCTGCGAGGGAAGTGAGGCCTGGTGAGCCCCCCGCAGACACAGTGGGAGATGGAGGGGCAGAGCCTGCTGACACGAAACCATGCCACAGCCTCCCGGTGAGAAATGGGGCAGAACGAGAGCCCAGCAGCACACACACCACCAGCGCCCACGCCCCCTCTCAAGACGCCCTGAGTCCTGCCAGCACCTGGAGCTTCTCTCCTACCCTAGACAGGATGGAAGACAAACAGAAAAGGAACCAGCCCCCTCAGGACTGCGGACACAAGGCTTCCACGTCCAGAGGTGAAAGCGCCCAGGCTCTAGGCCAGACTGACCTTCCGCCTGAAGGCCCCTCTAGCGTGGGGGCTCATGGCCGTCTCCCCACGTGGCTGCTGCAGGGGCGAGAAGGGAACGTGCCACACGGACCCTGAGGACATGCTCCTTCTCTCTTTAATTGGCACAGGTGAGCCGTGCTTCGGCCCGCTACAGCCCCCCAGTGTCTGCCTGCAGGCCGCCCGCCCCTCGCTCCGCTCACCAGGCTTAAGAGCTCCCGGAGCATCTCGAGGGGAATGCTGAACTCCTTGTAGGTGACGCCGTTGAAGAGAGGAGAGACAGAGAAGCTGGAGCTGACGGCAGAGAAGTAGTAGTCGGATTCCGGGGCGCTCCCATCAGGCGAGTAAGAGGCTGACGGGACAGAAGCAGGCAGTGGGTCTCGGGGCACGCGACCCGGATGTGCTTGCAACACCCATCAAAGGCATCGGCCACGCTTATGCTGACACTCCATCTTTCCCTTAAGAGACAAAGGCTGATACGATCCAGCAATCTCACTCCTGGGCATATATCCGAATTATGAATTGAAAAGATACACACGCCCCTGTGTCCACATGAACAGTTTCCAACAGCCAGGACGCAGAAGCGACCTGAGTGTCTGAAGCTAGACAGAGATGTGGTGTAAATGCAGAGTGACACTACTCAGCCATACAAAGGATGAAATAATGCCACTGGCAGCAACAGGCATGGACCTAGGGATTCTCAGAGTGAGTGAATTAAGTCAAAGATGCCATGGGATACCACTTGTACATGGAATTTTAAAAACGTGAAGATGTGCGAGCAGAGGGTGGTGGCAACCGGGGCGGGAGGCGGGGAGGCGGCAGATCTGTGGCCGAGTGGGGCCAGCCCCACTGCGCTGGGCGCTGCAGAAGCCTCGGCGCTCCCGCACGCGGGGACGCACAGCTCACAGCCCAACCAGGGTCAGCTCGGCGCGCTCACGCGCACTGAGCCGTCGGGTCCTTCCCGTGAAGGACACACCAGTCCACTGTGAAAACTAACGCCGGTCACACAGGGAGGCCAGCAGCCTGTGACAGAGGGTGCCTCCCAGACACACAGCACAATGCGAGGATGAAGCCTTGTGGCGGAGGCAGCGAGGGGGCAGACACGGAAACAGGAGGCGGGAGCTCCAGGGACCAAGGGGCTAGGACTTGACATTTATGCAGCGAGGTCACCGAAAGCTTTTAAGCAAGAAAAGAAATGATCAGATTTGTACTTTTAAGAAATGCTTCTTAAAAATAAATTCTTGTGGTGCCTGGTAGAGGGCCTGAACAATCAGGGAGTGGGGAGCGTGTGAGCAAGGGCAGGAGTGGTGGTCTCCCTCAGGCCTGGCACCAGCCACGATGGGGACGGTCCTGAGCTCAGGTTCCCAAGCCAAGGACCCTCAGGGGTGTGTGAGGTCGGGGGGTAGGCTGTGGATGGGGGCTCTCTCCAGCGGGTTATGAGTGGTGAGCCTGGCCTTCACGTGTGCACACTAGGACTGTAACACGCTACATCCTCTCACAGCCAAGAGATACTGTACCCACACTGTCCACATCTATCTGCATCAGTCACACCTCTGCTTTTTTAAAACAAATCCCCCACACGTCTCGAGATGCCCCTGAGGAAGGCTCTCTCAGCGGTGAGCATCATCTGACAGTAGGATGTGGGGCTCCAAGGCATGCACTCCTGCGGCCCACCTGACCCTGTCTCAGTCCCCTGGAGGCGAGGCTGCAGGCTGCCCAACACGTGTCTGACACGCTGCAGGCTGGCAGACGACCACATCTGGCAAATTACCTGAGAGTCCTTTGTGGACAGCAAGCCCCACAGACACTGTTCCTCACTGAAACAAGGTTTACTCAGCCTCGTTACTGCGCGCCTCAATATCGTTCCGGTGCTTAATGACGTTAAATGGCAAGAAACAAGAGAAGGGCCTGCCGGCACCACTTTCACCTGAAAACTGCCACCTCCGCAGGTCAACGCACTACAACTCGGACGGCCAGCACAGGGGTCCTGTGTGGTCCTTTCAGCACTTGTCTCTATGCTTGAAATATTTTTAGATTCAAGTGTAGCAAGCTTAATCAGGAACAGAAAACGAGTGCCCTGTAAGCCTAGAGCTGAGCTGCATGCCACCCGCACACAGCGGGAGGGCCTGGGACCTGGCCTGGCGCAGCCCGCGCGCTCCGCAGAAGGGCGAAGCCTACCTTCGAGGCAGTGAAAGGCAGATCCTCCGGGGGAGCCGGGAGGGGGCGCCCCGCGCTCAGGGCTGACCTGAAACACAGACCAGAAAGGCAGTCAGACCTCAGGCTGACGAGGTTAGGTCCGCTGCCCTGTTCAGCACCCCTCCTCCCTGAAACCCCGCGGCTACGGCTCGCTGCTGCGATTCTGTGTGCATTGGGTCTCATCACACCTTCTGTGCCTGCTGACTGAGCCAGGTTCCTGTTATTCCCTGGCTTTCTCCACGCGTCAGTTACATGTTTCCTAGGGGCACCAGCTGTCTCCCGCTCAGAACAGAGGTGTACCCAACGGCTAGGAAACAAGAGCCTCACGCCTGGAGATGACTCACATGTGTATCTTAGAAAGGACGTGGCAGCCACGGCCCTGCAGAGAACCCCTCAAGCCAGGGCGGGGCCCTCACAAGCCCGGGCCCAGCGGTCGGGCGCGCGGCCCACCTGCGACACGCTGGACACGCTGCTGGCCTTCCTCTTCAGGGTGCCCTCCTGACACACGGTGAGCAGGCTGCTGGGGAGGATGGAGCGGAAGTCGTTGAAGGACCGCCGGCGCACGCCTTCCAGCTCCTCGGGCACGCGGGGGGCGTGCGGCGGCGCTCTGGGGAAGAGCCTGGACAGGAGCGACTCCTCCGAGCTGCTGTGCCGCCCGAAGGCACGTGCGATTCCCAGCAGGCATGGGACCGCGTGCTTGCAGAGGTACTCTGGAAGACAAGGGGGACCGTGGCGGCACCCGGGACACCTGGGCCCCCGCCTCACCACCCCGCGACTGCAAATCCGAGGGCCCGAGCAGCCTGGCAGCAGCGCCCAGCCTGGCGCTGACCTTTACAACCCGCCCACGGCCCAGCGGCAGGCACGGCCCGTGGCGGGGTGTCTGAGCACGCTCAGCTCTCGTCAGCCCTCAGTCACGCCATCCGACGGGCTTTTGCCCAGGCCTGCACCAGTGTAGCCAGTCCTGCTGGGAGCAGGTAGACAGCTTCCCACCAGAAGGAAAAGGACCTTCAAACAGGCTACCGGGAGGAAACTGAGCCCCCTGAGGGTGAGGGAGGGGCCCGGCACTCAGGCAGGACGGCTGCGCTCAAGACCCGCCCCCAGCGCGCCCCTCCTCCCCACACCCCGCCTCTCGGCCCACAAGCAACCGAGGTAATGTCCACAGGCGCACTGGTCTCAAAGAGGAACTCTGAAGACTGGGAAATGCCAGGGAAAGGACAACCACAACGCCATTAAAGAAACCATACCTTTCTCTTGAATCTCTAGGGCCTGGCACATTCCCAAAAGCACGTGCAAAACCTGCAACAGCGCCTCTAATATCTGGAAGAGCCGAGGAGACAGGATACACAAAGTCACCCACAAAATCGGGTCAACGTCACACAGCTAACTCAGAACTAGAGGCAGCCTGGGATGGTCTCACGTCCCACCTCGCACCTGACCAGGCCGCCCGCACAGGAGCTCTGCGGAGGAGGGCAGCACCTGGGGGAACACAGCCCTCTTCCCGGCCGCTCCCCTCACGGCTCAGCACCCCTGGTTCTTCCGGTCCATTCCCACTATTCGCAGCCTTGCTGATGGCCGGCCTGACTTCACTCGAGTCCAGAGCATCAGGAATAGTCTCTCACTGCTACGCCAGGGGAGCTGGGACCGCCCTGGGCCATCGCCAGGCTCAGCTGGACTCCAGACGTCCAGGGACGGGACACTGGCTCTCCAGCCCCTCCATGCTGCTGGCCCGAAAGGCTCACAGAATGAACTCGGTCAGCGTCTCCCACACCTGCTGCCCCAGGCTCTGTCCCCCTGCCGAGGGGTCAGTCTCTTCGGCCCATCACGGAGCCCCACGAAAGTTCAGGGTGCAGGCTCAGTCCGTCGGGTGGGTCCTCAGTTCCCAGCTTGGCACTGTCTACATTGTGTGGCCCAGGTCTCCATCCCCCGCTGGTCCTGCCAGTCCTCGAGCCCTGCCCTTGGCCACACCGCTGACCCAGGGTGTCAGCAGTGGGCGGTCCCGGCCCTGAGGAAGAGCACCAGGCCGAGCCCCTCTCGCCTCCTCGCTACCCATCGTCGCAGGGAATCCAAGCAGAGAATGAAGCTGGCCTGAGACGACTGGGCTGTAGCTCACGTTTTATCAAATGACATGGAAACCATGAGGATGTGAAAAGCAATGCTTTGTCCATTTCATGTATTAAAGTTATGTCACCGTCTTCTGTGGTGGCGTCTCTATTTCAGTGGGTGTTACTGATAGAAAAGCCCTGTTAACGTTTGAAATAACAACACGTGACTCTAATCTATTTCATTACCTGTTTAGCCAATCCACAATAAAGAACCTCAACTAGGAAAGAAGGATGGAGACCAACGTAACGGCAGAAATAGGGACAAGCGCATTCACAGTGCAATAGTAAGGAGAGAGATTTCAAAACTGGAAAGACACGGGGACTGACAGGCAGCAGCCAGCTGGGAGCGCTGGGGCACAGGCAGACCCAGGCTCCCCGGCAGGGCCTGAGGTCGGCCGCGCCAGGAAACCGACTCTGTAAGTCGCAGATCTGGTTAAGACGAACCTTGTCATCGCCATCCTCCTCTTTAGGAGGGAGTATGAAATACATTGAAGCAGCATTTCCAACAAAATAAACTAAAAGGAAAAGAACTGGGGCACTTAAAGGAACAAACGGCTCCCGCTTCCTGGAAAGAAATGCTTCTCTTGTATGAACCCCTTTGGTGCCCAGCATGGAGGCAGCAGGACACATGGCCTCTCACTCCACGGGGCAGCCGGGAAAGCAGACCGAACCAGACCCAGGAGGTCAGTGGGGGACAGCCCTGCAAGCAGAACTCCACGTTTCTCAGCTGTGTTATCAATCGTGTGCCGTAAGTCAGCATGAACACCACAATGACCTTGCTTCTCGTCCCGCGTCACTGTGGGACTCTGCTCATACAGGGGGCACAGCAGGGCGCTGCACACTTACCTCGCCCCTCAGGGAAGGGTCCCTGTAAGCCACGTCAGACAGCAGCGTGACCAAGCAGAAGCTGAAGCTCTCGGCCACCGGGAGCGTACCTGGAGGCAGAGACAGGAGTCGGGCCATCACCTCGCCCGGCTGCTCCCCCTCACACGCTGTCAAGCACCTGTTCCCTGTGGAGGTCGCCCTCAACGGGGTAGGGCCCAGCATGTTTCCTGAGAAACACCCCTGCCTTCCTTGTAACAAAATGTTCCAGTTCAAGAAACTTAGATGCTTCCTGAGCCCATTTATAGTCTGAGATCACAGAGCCCCTTTTACCACAACAGACTCCATGCTTTATTTCCAACCTACATGAAACTGGGAACTCGGTCTTGAGTGTATGGGAAATGTCTCATGGAGTTTTCAAATACTAATCACTATCACTTGAAACTGAGTTAATGTTTATTTCTCTCTTCTTCTGATGGATGGAGAAAATCTAAGATGCTAAAAGGGGCATCCAGAAATGCGATCTGCTCCTTGCAGGTGCTCAGGCCCTTCCCCGACTCAGCCTGCCAGGAGGGAGCTTCTCACGAGCAGGGCCTCAGGTCAGAAAGGGAGCTCTGCACCCAGAGGACTGAAAGGCCAGCGGTAGTTCTGTCACTGGCACCGAGGGGCCAGACCTGCTGCTGTGGAAGCCGGGCCCCTACTGAACATGCAACCAGCGCTGGACGCTGAGCACCAACTCAAAGACAGATACACACATGCGGCAGCCACCTGCTACGTGCCTACTTCTCCACATGTGATCCAGACAAACAATTCTAGGTCCTTCTCAAGCATGAGTGTGGCTGGAACCCCCGGGAGGGCTTGTTGAAGTGGTCTGTCTACTCCCTGGCCCCAGAGTCCTAACTTGGTAGTTCCAACGCAGGGGCTGAGACTCTGCCTTCCGACAAGCCCCTGGAGCTGAAGCTGCTGTTCCAGGGACGGCCCTGGAGGAGCTGCCGCTCTGGAGCGTATCAAAGCTGAGCGACACTGCCGGAATAGAAACCGGGAGGCTGAGGTGTCACCCAGTAATCGGGTACTTATACAACGCCAACGATCTTTCAATAATGCTCAAAACTTCACGTGAGTTCATGTGTACAAAAGTGATATCTATTTTGAAATAAAGTAGGATCAACATTTTCTAGGGCTCTGCTTCTCCCCAAATTAGACAACAATGGTGCACACAGGTAGTCTTTCAAATTCTAGGACAACTGCATGATCTAGAGTCTGTCAGCTTTAGGCTGACACCAGCCACCAGCGATGCTAAAAATCCAAAGGGCAGGAGGAGCCCGGGCAAATTCAAATTGTTAGGAGCCCTAACAAATTCAGGCCACGCCACCAAGAGAGAGGACGGGGCCTTTTTGCAGGCATCAAGCCCCAGCGAGATCTGAAGGTGGGGGCCTCAGATCTCAGACAGAGATTACAAGGAAACTTCAGTCTGACGGGTCATGAACTCTTAAATACTGGAGATCTCCCAAGCTGACTTTAGAGGAAACGTCATGAGTGTTCTAAGCATTTAGCACAATGTCTGGCATGTCGTGGGCCTGTGTAAAGGTTTCAGGAGGGACGGGAGGGAGGAAGGGAAGAGGGGGCAGTGGAGGGAAGAGGAGAGATTATCTCACTTTCTCTTTGTCTTTGAAGAGATTTCAAAATCAAATACCAGCTAGACAGAAACACATGAATTTAGTCCATTTCTACAGGTCAATGGAAATGCAGCAATATTGACGAAGCGATGAGACTACTGAGAGTGGACACTGTGGTCTAGCCCTTTTTTCTGAGCAGCCACCAGGCCTCTGGAAAACTGACCTGACTGCAGGGTGACAGCTGGCTTGGGGACAGCCGGGGACCCACTGCTGGCCAGGGGGACGTGACCAGGATTCCTGAGGGTCCCCGTGGTTCCCCTCGGCCTGCCCTGCGTGGGGCTCTGGGGCACTGCGGTGCTGCAGGCGTTCGGCTGCTGCGCTAGTGACCACACCCCTGACCTCTCAGACACGGAGCGCGCGGACGCGCCCTGTGCTCCGGGGAGCACGAAGCCGAGTTACCTCTGCCCTTCCGAGCCGTGCTCTCGTCTACCCAACACACTTTCGGAAGACCTTTAAGAAGTCGGAGGAGGTAAGGAACCACCGAGTCTCTGTGCTTGAAGAGAAAACAAAAAGCTTACATTGAATTAAATACACGGCTTCTGAGCACAAACTGAGCCCAGAACCAAGAGCGCCCACACCCTCGTCTCAGAACAGGGCGTGCACACGGCAGCCCGCAGGAGGGCCGACGCCTGCCCCCTGCTGCCCTGGGTCCTGCCGGCTCTGGTGCCCAGCGGAAGGCACGTGTGCACACATCCAGAGTGGCTCCCTGACGGGCGCTCAGAGTCCCCAGCCCCACAGCCGGGCCTCAGGACCAGACCCTCTGGGAGAGAGACGCTTCCAGACACGGGGCTGCCGCAGCTGTTTTCAGCCTCATGCTCCTCCCTCCTCCCCTAAACGTCCTCCCACACACTTCCTTCTGCTCCTCTCAAACGGGGCACGAGACTTGACAGCCAGCAGTAGCCAGTGAAAAAATCACTCTCCCCTAGTTTCCAAAATAGCCCATCAGCAGGGATTCAGTTCCTAACCTCCCCCCATGGGCTCTCTTGGTGGTCTCCTGCAGGAGGCCCAAACAAGCCTGATTCCGAAGGAGGGGGCACCATCAGACAGCCTGAGATGCTGAGGAAACTGTTGTTTCGAAAACATGTTTGCAAATTCTGCCACGGGTTTTTAAATCACCTTTAAAAGGCACATTAACACATGCTCTAAAAATTAATATCCATCATAGTTTTGAAAAAGACAGCACAATTATCTCAAAAAGCGCTGTCCTTTGGAAAGGGAAAAAAATGGCTCCTCTGCTTCTGACTGGGCAGCGTCCTGTTGAGGCGAAACCCAAGTCCCCTCCCAGAGCACCAGCTCACCCCGGTGAGACCACACCACACCTCCCCGAGGACGTGTCCATGAAGGGGTCTCCTTCCCACCCGTCCAGCTGCCCCACCCTCCTGCTCTGATCTGGCTGAACACAGCGGGTACAAATTTAAAGCCTAACTGCACTGTCTTCTGCACTCAGGAACACTTCACTTCGCAAAGGCTCACCTGTAAGTCAGATTCAATGAGAAAGATGCCCAACGCAATCACCGCATCTCTCCGCCTCTCGTCCAATTGGAAGATCCCATGGAAATCTACTGGGCACATACAAAGCAGCTTTTGGACCTAGAAAAGGAGACAGAAAACCATGGAATAAAAATACATAAACCCAATTTCAGAATGGACCAGTACTGAAGAGCCCTGTGAGCCTCTACAACTAGCAGGTCACTCTCCCCCAGTCTGAGGGAGGTAGCAAGCACACCTCCAGCCTCTGAAACGACGGCACACAGGCCCTCTGAGGACCTGGGCCGAGCGCTGAGCGGCCACGCCCGCGGCCGAGGTCCGCCCCCGCTGTCGGGGCAGCCTGGCTCCCTGCTGCCCAGGGCTACCCGTGAGCAGGTGACAGAGCCGCGGGCATCCCACCTCCACCCAAGGCTCTTTAAACTCCAAGCTGTGTACAGCGCTCGGGACGGGATGGGGCACACGGCAGGTACTCAGCAAACAGTACCCGCCGCTACTGGATGTGCCCTGGTGGCAGGTGGAGGGCAGCGGGTGCACAGTCAGCAATTAACAGAACAGATGAAAACACTGGGGGACTGTCAGCACAAACCAACAGGAAAGGTCATTAAAGAACCAAAAATCAAAAAAAAAAAGAACCAAAGATCAGGATTCAGTATGAAAAGGAAAATAGGGGACGCCAATCCTGAAAATCTCTGCAGAGGAAGCTCTGAAGGTGCACCAGGAGGCCCTAACATTGCAACCCATGGATGTGATAAGAAGCCCTCACTGATGGTCACAGGGTCTGCTGGGACGTTTTACGGGCAAAAGAAACTGAACCCAGTACTTGGTGTTTGCCCTAAAAATGCATCAGTCAATTACCACTGACAGCTTTTTATAGAAAGTAGTTTTGCTCCCTTAAGATTTTAAAAGGGGAAAAATTAAAACTGGCAAGTTCAGTTCAGTTGCTCAGTTGAGTCTGACTCTTTGTGAACCTGTGAACCGCAGCACGCCAGGCCTCCCTGTCCATCACCAACTCCCGGAGTCCACCCAAACCCATGACCATCGAGTCGGTGATGCCGTCCAACCATCTCACCCTCTGTCGTCCCCTTCTCCTCCTGCCCTCAATCTTTCCCAGCATCAGGGCCTTTTCCAATAAGTCAGCTCTTCGCATCAGGTGGCCAAAGTATTGGAGTTTCAGCTTCAGCATCAGTCCTTCCAATGAACACCCAGGACTGATCTCCTTTAGGATGGACTGGTTGGATCTCCTTGCAGTGCAAGGGACTCTCAAGAGTCTTCTCCAACATCACAGTTCAAAAGCATCAGTTCTTCGGCGCTCAGCTTTCTTTACAGACACTGGCAAAAATTACGTAAAATGCTTTCACCCCAGTGTTGTGTTTACTAATTGAAGATCTGAAACAATCTAAAACACTATGAGAATACCATGATCAACCATTTGATCAAATATTAGGTTAAACCCTATGAAACTGCTGATACGCAAACGTTTTTGATCTACAAAAACAATGCTTTTGTAAAATTTAACCTAATACCACAGACATTAACAATGGCATTTTTGTTATCAATACGCAATGGCACGGAACAATGCTCTAAATGTTCTAGAAGCTCACGGAAAGGAAGATCTGAAAAAGTGCGGGAAGAAAATATATCAAGGGATTCCTTGGCGGTCCATTGGTTAGAACTCTGAGCTTTCACTGCTAGGGCCCGGGTTCAATCCCTGGTCTGGGAACTAAGATTCTGAAAGCTGCACGCTGGGGTCAAAAAAAAAAATCAGCGTCAATACTTCTGAGGGACAGGCTGACCAGAGGTGTTAAGTTTCTTCATTTTTTTTTTATAGTTGCCAAAATATGTTCTAGAGGAAAACAGTGCTCGTGTCAGTCAGGAAGCACGTTCAGGGGGTTAAGAGTAAAATGCACACACAGGAGGGGGGTCTGCCCCGAGAGTGAGCGCTCAGGCGGAAGAGCCCCTGCGGCGTGATGAGGGAGGGGGCCACAGAGGCCCAGAGCTGACGGAGCCCCGTGCTAACCCAGGGCCTGCCCCGCCCAGCACAGCCCGCGGGGAGCTGGGGGCTGCAGGGCGGAGTGGGACTCAGGAGCGCGGCGCCACTGGCCAGGCCTCCTGACCACACATGGAGAGGACCGCACGCCAACGCCGCCGAGCCCGAGCTTCTCAACACCCGTGCTCCCGTCCCGTCCTCTGTCCCCGCAGGCTCCTTGGGGGGCAGGGTAAGGATTGCGGAAGCTGGACGCACGTGGACTTTGGAGTTGGACCCAGAGTCACCGGCGAGTGCACAGCCTCAGCCTCCTGTCTGCGCCGCGACCCGGCAGGACCAGGCCCTGAAGCACACTCCTCGCGGGCTCAGCACCTGCCCCGTGAGGGCGGGTGGGGGCAGCGCGTCTCTGACCCACTGCCCCTCTGCTCAGTGGGCAGTGAACCCTGGACCCAGCCCTGCCCTCACTCCAGGCAGGCGACAAACCAGGAGATGCAGAGGTCGTGTAAGAGGCTGACTCTCCCTGCGGGGAGTTAGCAGAGAGCCTCTCCTCTCCTCCTCCTCCTCTGAGAACTTAACAGTGGAAAACGCCACTGGCAGGGTTTTCCTTTTTCACAGAAAGGTACACAAATTCTTTTGAAGGCTAGACTGGCGCGTGCGAGCTTTATGACCCGAGGATCTTTCTGAGGATCTGGGAGCCGTCCTCCGGAATGGACACATCGAGGAGGGGTGGCACCCCGCCTTCCCACCCCCCCACCTCCGTCCCTGGAGGTGGGCAGGAGCCTCACTGCCATGAGCTCCTTGTGTCCCAAGGTGAAGCTACTGCCAGGGTGATGAAATGCCCAACCACATTGCCCAGAACTAGACGCCCTCCCAAGTCAGGACGCCTTGGCCGAGCGCCGCAGGGACAAGTCAGCGTGAGAGTGGGTGGACGTCAGGTATGTAGGTCATAGCAGAGCTGCAGTCGTGGCGTTGGTTACATGCTGGCCAATGAAACTGTTTTCAAAGTACAGAGCTTTTGTCACCTGAAACCTCTGGGCATAGTCTCCTAGAGGAACAAAATTCCCTGAGAACCGAACATTAAGCTCTAAATATTAGTGGTTTTTTGTTGTTGTTTTGTTAAATCTGCTTTTTAATTGTCACTCTATGTCCTGCCCCCTTGGAGAACACGGAACATGAGCCAGCATTTTCTAAGAGATTCAGAGCTACCTTGATAGACAAAGGTGCCTGTGACAATTTTGGCAGGTTAACAAATCAGCTCTCTCAAGCCTCAGCTTTCTCAGATACAAAAGAACAAGGTGACAGATTTTTGCAGTGAAATCCTGTGAGCTGAGAACTTCCACCTGCAGCCCTGAGGGCACGGCAGGATGTGGACACACCTTCCCGCCATAAAACAGGAAAACGGGCAGATACTGAAACCAACGGTTTCATACACTGGACTGAGGGCTGGGGAGGGAGGCGCCGAGGTGAGCCGCGCGGCTGCCCAGGACTCCTGCCAGAGGATGCACCCCAGGCCACAGAGCAGGTCACACTGGTCTCACGAGGCTGCAGAGACAGGAACGGGAAAAGCGGCTGGGGAGCCCGGAGAAAAGGGCGCTCAACAGGAAGACGCTCCACAAATCCAAGTCGCTGATGCATGCACTAAGACAGCCCAGAATAGGGTCATACCCTGAGAAGTGGGACAAAAATCAGGCAAGGAGCTGGGAGCTGAACAGTTCCCAGGCCCTCGGAGAGCTGGGAGGAGCCTGGGCTCCTTCCAGCCAGAGCAAAAAGCCCGCCAAGTGTCCCATGGAGAGCCTGCAGGGCCACTCCTTGGCAGGGGAGTCAGGGTCCCTGCGGCAAAAGCTGTTTCAGACCCGCCCTGACCAAGTTTAAAGCCAGCTCTGCAACAGACGCAGGAAAAGCACCTGAGAAATTCAACACCTTCTGGATAAAACCCTCCGCAAACTAGGAAAGTAGGGAGCGCCCCACAGGTGGGGCTCCCTGCTGGCTCCCTGGTCAAGAGTCCGCCGCGCAGCGCAGGCCTTGAGGCTCCTATCCCCGGTCAGGCCGCGAGGCGACCACGCCGCGGGCTCTAGAGCCTCTGCTCTGCAGCAGGAGGATGTCCCCGGCGTGCACCGCAAATCAGTTAGACCATTCACACCGCGCACTTTTCCTTCACGGCGCCTGTTACATTTCACATGTTTACTTGCAGTTTTTTAATGCTGGTCTGTCTCTCTCCATGGTAAGCCCCATGACAGCAAGACTGCCCATTTCTCTGCCCCTCCAGGGCACCCCTCTAGGCCTGGCCCTCCACAGGTGCTCCAAGACCCTGTGGGAATGAATGGCGGACGATGCCAGCGTCTTTTGCTTTCACCATGGTGAACCCTTGGGCAGCCCAAATCCCAGCTTCCGGACCAGCTCTGAACAGAGATGCTCAGAAGAGAGGGGCTTCAGCAGCAGAGAGAATCTCTCAGACTCAGTGAATACATGCAAGTGAGCCTGGAGTGGTTTCGCCTCAAACCTGTATTTAGGCAGCCGGGTTTCATGCAACTGAAAGCTGTGCTCTGGCTGGTGTGGTCATGTGCACAAGAAGCCAAGCTTTTTTTTTCAGGAGAGAAGCAGGTAACAAGAATAAATATGTAAATAAGAAACCAGGAGAACAAGTGCACAAAAACATTTCAGCAACTAAACTTGACGATGGGACCAGCCGCTGGTGGAAGGAACTGGAGGCACCATTTCCAGCGAGTGCAGACAGCAAACACTGCTGGCAGAAGCGAGAATCCACAGTGAAGAGTCAGAAATAGAACATTTCTGCCCTCTGGGGGAGCGGGCGGTGGTGACGCACACCGCTCCTCAGAGAACCCAGGGCACCAATGAGGCAGCCATAAGCGCTTCCTCGCACAGACGCAGGCCCTCCCCAGGCAGAAGCGGCCTTCACGTCTGGGAGCCCCAGGGAGGTCGCCTGCTCTCCTCTCCGTCTGTCTCCACTCTGCTCTCTCAGAAAATCCTGTCCCCACAGCAGGCTCTCTGCCTCCGCCATCTGAAACACCCCCTCTCAGCAGCCAGAGCTCTTAGCACCTGCAAACCCCACCCTCAAGGCTTCCTAGCCGTCCCCATGAAAAACCTCCACTGAGGGCGA